CACCGCCCTGCCCAGCACCGCCCTGCCCAGCCCCGCCCCGCCCAGCACCGCCCTGCCCAGCACCGCCCTGCCCAGCACCGCCCCGCCCCGCACCGCACCGCCCAGCACCGCCCTGCCCAGCACCGCCCCGCCCCGCCGCCCTGCCCCGCCCCGCCCGCCCTGCCCCGCCCCGCCCTGCCCAGCCCCGCCCTGCCCTACCCCGCACCCCTACACTTTCCCCTTCCCCCCGTCAGCAGCGCCCCTCGTGGGCGTCGGGCTGCAAGGTCACTCAGGATGACCCGGAGGGCTATCCGGCTAGAAGTGACATCACAGCGCCGGGTGTAAAAGAACGAGAGTGAGGGTGCTGAGAGAGTTGGCACACAAGTGGGTCCCCCGGGGGCAAGACCCTCTCTCTAATGTCTAAAAACAGAGGGTTTTGTGACGTCTCCATTCACCGTGTCCGCGTGTAGCCGTCGCGGTACGCGGATACACACACACTCACAAATCATACGTATCGGTGGTGGAGGGCATATTGGGCGGACCTCGCATCTCCACGGACGGAAATAGCAAACTCGCAGGTTCGGGCGCGCGCGGAGAGCAGGGCCAGCAGCTATTTAGAAGGCAAAAAACAAGATTTTTAAACATAGCCACACTCACGCAGCGCCGAGCGCATGACCTCGGCGGTGACGGTCGAGCATCCAAAGTCGATCAGCGTCGGGGCGTCGACGTCGCGCAGCTGCTTCTCAAAGTCGCGCACTGAGTCCTTCACCTGCCGGATGCACTTCTCATGGGGTGCGACGTTGGGGCTGTAGGGGGGCAAGAACTCGACCACGAAGCCGCGAGAGTGGAAGAGGTTCAGAAGCTGCTGGTTTCGGTGGATGCCGCAGTTGTCCATGATGACGACCGATCGCTGCTCCATGCCAAAGCACTGCGTGAACTTGCTCATCACCGGCATCTGCAGGCGGGTGGAGGGTGCCTTGGTTGGTTGAGGGCTGGCGTGTGGGGCGAACCCGTCTTAAAAATCTAGAGGGGCGAGCCTCACCAAGTGGTCGGTGCACGCGGATGCAAACGCCTCCGAGTCAAAGCCCCCCTCGACCGTGACGTGGCCCACGTGGCCCACGTTGACGTCGAAGAAGCCCAGCATCGAGTGGCGCTTGCCCCGCGCGAGGATGCCTCGGCTCGAGTCGGCCCGCAGGCCGCGCAGCGCATAGCCGTAGCGCCTACGTTGGAGAAACGTGGGGTCCGGGAGGAGAGTTGAAAGTTGGTGACTGAGCTGTGCTCCCGCTCGGGCACTTGTTGAGCAGCCGCTTGTCCACAGCCGACTCGTCGATCCAGATGAGCTGCTCGAGGTTGTAGTTGTTGAGAATGTGGGTCACAAAGTCTTGCGCCTTTCGCGCGTCGTACGCCTCGACCAGCAGGGAGAGCTGTGGGCAGGGAGGAGGGGAGGGGGTGTGGGGAAAGGGCCAGGTGCACTCTCTGGTGAGGAGGTGAGGGATAGCGCGCCCGCTTGCGCGTCATGCCCATCCGCTTCAGCGTCTGGCACATCGTCGGGATGCTCATGCGGATGCCGGTCACGTTGTAGAAGGCACTGCAGATGTCGCTCAGGCTATCCTCCATGTTGCACTGGGTCAGGCAGTCCAGAAGTTGCGGATGCAACTCGGGCGGCACGATTGCCGGGCTCAGCCGCTCGCCCTGGTGCGAAGAGATGTCGTGCGGCGGCGTCTCGAAGCGTCTCCAGATCTCGCACGCCGAACTCTCTGAGACGAGGAGGTCGTCCGCGATCTCGGCGAAGGTCATGTCAAAGACGAGGCGCTTGTACACAATCCGCCAGCGCAAGTCATCTGAGAGCGCGGATGAGGAGCCGAGCGGGCCGAAGCCAGTTGGCGACGGCGGCGGCGAGTCCAGCGGAGGCGAGCCCAGCGGCGCGTCCGACGGGTGGAGGAGCGGCAGCAGGGACTGCGTGCGACGCGAAGCGCGGGCGGGCGAACGCCGCGCGGACGCAAGGGCCAGGCCGGCGGCGAGCACGCCAGCGAGCGACAGCAGCGCCAGAACCGCGAACATGGTGCTCGAAAAGAACCGGGAAGAGTGGTGGGTTAGAGCTCCGAGCCGTCTAGGGATCCCTGCGGCAGAACACAGGAATGAGTACATCAAAGTCCCTAGTGTTGTGCGAAAAAGAAGTTCGAGCGCCAGGTAGTCCGGGGTAGAAAAGAAGTTCGACCGTCCGCAAACGTCCCTCGGTCGCACTTCGGCGACAGTCTCGCTTCGGCCTCTCGCCGCTGGTACTGAATATGCGCAACATCCATCCGTCCACAACCAATTGGTAGAGCACACCTCGTCTCTGCGCCGCAGTGGCTGCGTGACGGGCGAGCTCCCAGTGGGATCGCTTGTGAGTTCGTCAGGGCGTTGAGGTCAGGATGGAGCCAGTCGGACCAATCAGAAGCTGACCTGAGCAGTGCCACTTTCAACACGGTCAGGGCGGGAGGGGCGGACATGGACCCGCCGCGAACTCCCTTGTGTGGGCAGTAGCTGCCGGCCGTGAACCCCTTCCCGGACCAAGAATGAATGTGCACTAGAGTGAGGCCCTTGACGGGCCCCGCCCCCAATGGGGCGGGGTTGAATGGGCTAGCGCTGGCGTGGCGTTGACATGAGCACAAAGTTGCTAATGTGCGTAGACGAACAAACACAGAGTAGGGTTGAAATCGTCCACGTAAGGCTTAGGGAGTGCTTGGGGTGGCCTCAGGCATCCCCAAGGGAGTCGCAGCGGTGCCCCATAAGCAGCTTAGCGATTGTCGAACCTCGAAGCGCGTTCGTTTGAAGAAAGGCACACGGTACTATCGGGCCACCGGAGAGTCACCGGTAAACTTCGACACTTTGAGGGGTGAGAGCATGCATTATTGTGGCATATCATGTCACATAAGGTCGAGCTTGACCGCAGAAGCATCAAGAAGCGGATACTCCAGCTCGACTGTGCCGGCAAACTGCCTCCTCACGCCGGCCGGCTGCCAGCAGCCGTCGCGGCCCGTGGCGTGCTCCAGAGAGGGAGAGAGGTCGAGTCCGCATGGCTCAGGCCGGCCAGAAGGTGTGTGGTGACGGCACCGTGGCAGGAGTGCGGAGAAGAGCTCGCCGAACGCGAGCAGCGGAAGGCCGAAGTGTGCCAGCGCGAGAGCCTCGCGAACGGGTGCAGAAGGAGCTCGCCGTGACACGATGCCGGGCGGTGGTGGTGCTCTGGCGGCTGTGCACAGTGGGAAAGGTCAGGCTGCAACAGCGTAGCACGATGGTAGTGCCCCGCTGCAGCCTGGCCTGACATGCACAGGGCGAACAGAGACCTTGCTATCGCCTGGCGCTCGTCTGGGCAAACTTTGACCGCCGCCCGGCTCGCCACGAGCACGCAGCGACAAAATGATGACCGTGTCGAAGTTGAGGCTGGTCGAGAGGAAGAGGCTGCCGTGCGAGCCGGCAACTGGCTGGCTCGGCGTGAACGGCCGGCGGCGACTTTTTGCCGAAGAGCGTGCCTGCCGAAGAGCGAGTCTGACTCAAAGTGCACGGAGTGGGTGCCGCCGACCGTCGGGAAGAGTCCGATGGGTGCCAGGAGGATCCAGAGAGCGATGAAGGCGCAAATTGCGCCGCCGAAAGCGGCGGTAGAGGCCAGGACGTGCGCGTGGGCCGGTCGGGCCACGTCCCGGGGCGAGCGATCGAGGGCCGCGGGGCTCGCCCCGCCGGCCGAGCGGTGCGAACGGCCGGTCGCCCGCTTCGGGTTGGACCCGCCGGGCGGTCCGGCGGCGGATGGCACGGCCGGGCGGGCCCCGGGAGGCAGGCGGGGCCGCGACAGGCGGCAGGGCAGAAAATCCCATTCGGAGAGCGTGTGGTCCGACCCCTCTGCTACTTTCAATGATAGGGATGTGCGAGGCGTGCCGGCGTACGTGGAGAGCGACTGTTTAATGGCAGATGGGTGTGGCACCTGTGCGGGTGTGCCGCCGTCTCGGTGTGTCCGCTCCCTGGGAGTGATGACGCTACGTGGAGTTCGGCAGCCGCCCGCGGTGAACCAACTCGCTCGCGGCTCCAGTGCACCAACTCCCTCGCGGCTCGGCTGTGGCTCGGCTCCGGCTGGCGGCGTCTCGTGTCTCGCTCCTCTGGGTGGCCGCATACTCGAGTGACTCGGCTCTGTCCTCTTCGGTCTGTCTCCCTACCAATGCCCGTCCCTGCTGCCCCCTGCTGAGACTCCCCCCCCCCCCCCCCTCCCAACCACTGCGCAGGCGAATGCTGCTCATGCCGAGACGACGCACCCGTCGATCCATTTGACCTCCCTAGCAGAGCACCACACAAGCCCACACAAAACCGAATTTTCATAAACCGACGGAGGCCTAGAAATGCCTTGCCCGTATTTGTACCGTCGTGTGTGTGTGGACTGTGGTGGGATCTCTCTCACGTTCATCTCTCTCTCTGTCTCCCTCCCTCTCTCCCTCTCTCCCTCTCTCCCTCCCGCTCCCTCTCTCCCTCCCTCTCTCTCTCTCTCTCTGTCAGTGTGCGCCATTTTGCTGCCTTCCCGTGTGTCTCTGGTCTGCGAGTCTGTCTGTGTGAGAGGGTCGGCCCGCGAGAGTTCCACCCGCCAGTGCACCGCCCGGCCTCTCTGTCTGCTTCGCCTCTCGCTCTGCTCTCGCTCACTCACGTGCGGCTGGGTTCGGCACCGGTGGCGGTGCGTGTGAGGCACACTCCGGCGGCGCTAGAGGCCACTCGGCGATCAACGGCAGCACACACGGCCATCGGCCTAGGAAGCCCAAACAATGCGCCCACGGCCATCGGCCTAGGAAGCCCAAACAATGCGCCCGCCTCTTTTTTCCCTAGGGACGGGACGGGTAATTAATGAATAAATAGAGTTCCAGGAGAGATGGCACAGATGGGCGACGCACGAACACAGAGGCACAGGGCCTATCCTCAGCACGCTGCCGCAGCCGCCACACGGGCCGCCGCCCGGACCTCCGCGGCCTCCGCCCCCCCGCCGCCCGCCCACGCCGCTGGGTCCGCGCCCCCCTGCCGGGCCGCCGCCGATGGGCGCCTGACTCACCGTGCAGCATGTGCGGGACGAGCTCCGGCTCCAACGGTGGAGCGGGGGCTCACCGCGTGCGCCCGCCCTCCGCACAGGGCGGGCGTCCTCTGCCCCTGAACGTTCGCCGCGCGCGTGCATGCGCCCGCGTATGCTCTGTACCGGCATTTGTGGGTTTCCTTTCTGTCCCCGCTCGTTTGTGGGACGTACCCGGGTATCTCGCATGTGTATGTGCCGCGCTCGTACAGGACCAGCTAGGTCTGCGAGCGCCGCGAGAGGCGAGAGGTGTGCCTCCGTCCCACTCTGTTGCATGCGTCTGTGGGAACGTGTCCCTGTTTTACGCACACTATGTTTGTCCAAAGACTACGAGACCCGATTGAGACGTGTGATATGTGCTTGCGCACCCTATCTTTTCGCGTGCCGCCGCGCACACACGGGCCGAACCCCAGGCGGGACCATCCGAGAAAGTCTGCCTCGTGCCGCATACGCGCGCTCCGCAATGAGACCCGCGGCCACAAAGACGCGGGCGATTGGCGACGACTCGCCGGCCGCCCACCTCGAGAATGAGAGCGGCAGAGGCGCCTCGCAGGAGCGCTCGCCGATCCCGGCAATGCTGCAGCGGCCGCGGAGCGGACGACGCGGCCGGTCCCTGCCCAGCGCGGTCGGTCCCGGCCGGCACCAGCCCGCCCGCCGAGAGAGCGCAGCCCCTGCACGGGCGGCGCGTAGGAGGTTCAGGGTGTGCGAGTGGATCCCGCCGATCGGCCGGCGCACCGCGGGTCGCCACCGCCGCGGCTCCGAGCGCGTGTATCGACCGCGCAAGACTCCAGGGCCGTGTGCGGGGATGAACTGGCCCGCTCGGCGGCTGTGGGCGCCGCCGTCGCGAGACCGCCGACGATCGAAGATCAAGATCAAGATGAAGATCCAGATCAAGATCAAGATGCACATCGCGGAATTCCGGCATTCGAGAACAACTCAAATCGGCTCTATGTCGCCAGGCGCACCTTCAGTGTGGTTTCTTTATGGGGAGCATCGCACATCGCACAACATCGCCCCATGTCCGCCTTGCTTTTGTTTCGTAACAATACATCGAAGGCTAGCTCAAAAGAAAACGGAGAACAACGCACGTCCTCCACCCCCGGCGTCGGCGGACTTGCTGCGTGCTCGACTTCCGTCGTGGCGGTTAGGCTCGCCGCGAATGCCCAGCACGGGCGAGGAGCCAGCCCACAAGCTGCTTGTCGACCAGATCACAGATGAGGGCATCGGTCAGATCGTCGACCAGATTTCGCGCGAAAAGATCTCGTCCGCCTGGCTGCGCTTGCTGCGTGAAAACGGCACGACCGTTGCTCATGACCGAATGAGCGGATACTACGGCAATCTCGCCATCATCGCCGCCCTGATGGTCGGCGCGGCCCTGACAGTGCTGGTCGAGCTCGACTACTCGGACGCAACCTCGTGGTACCAAGCAGGAGCTTCTGTTACCGGAGTCACCTCGATTGCTCTGATGCTCGCCTCCGTCCTCGACTCCGTGCTGATATGCATGGTCATCAAGAAGCTTGGAACGCCCGAAGAGTTCGAGCGGTACATCGTCGATCACTCAGCCTACCTCGGCTGGCCAGTCGTCATCTTTGTCGCCGGCATGAGCCTCGCGATGCTTGAGATGCTCCTCTTCATTGTCGAGACAAGTGGACCCTTCATCGTGGTCTACTCGACGGTCGGAATGTGCGTTTTTGGGTTCGTCATGATATCCCGGTATCGCGAACAGTCCGCGTGGTTTGAGCAGCTCAGCCGAGAGGCGACCCAGCGGGAAGCCGACAGTGATCGTCGTTCAGTCCTAGGCTGCTAGGCCTGGACAGGGTGGCGAGCCGCCTAACTGAAACAAAATGAAATGAAAACGGATATCTCAGTAGTAGAGATGGGCAAAAAAGGAGCTGGTCCTCCCCGCTCATGGCCATGGTCTCTGCGTTAATCCAGCGCACATTGGTGGGGGTCTGGTTACAATCGAGAATCCGTGTGTGAGGTGTGTGTGTGTGTCGAGCATTTGTGTGTGTCGAGTTTAGATAAATAAATAAAAAAACGGACACCTCTAATGTGAGATGGGTAAAAAGGAGCAGGTCCCCGCCCGTGTCGAGTTTATCTCGGGCCACGGGCGGGGACGCTTGATTTCTCTTTTTATTATTTGCGAGGAGAGAGAGGTGAGAGAAAGAACCAGAACAAACACACATAAGGGTGAAATTCTGAAAAACGTGCAGCACTTCTAGCCGACATCGACAAAAGTCACTCTCTAGCCCCGCGGCGAGCGGCCCCGCCGGAGGCGAAGAAAATTTTGCCATCTAGCGCTCTCTAACACACATTTTTGCACAAATCGACGCCTCCAAACAAGCTCAATAAGACTGGTCTTCACTGCCTGCAGCACGCCTCGAGCGAGTAATGCGTCTGTAGGCCAATATAATAGAGCTTCTCGCGCGCGCTCCTCAGCTGGCGGTCCGCAGGGCCGCCCGGGCCGGGCGAGAAGCGCAAGCCGCCAGCCGCACCATGTGATTCACGATGATGAGCGTCTCGGCCTCGAGCAGCGTGTAGGAGCGAAGCTTGCCCTCGCACTCGCGTTGCTCGAGCCTGAGCCACTGCGCCTTGACCACGAGATAGCCCGCGGGGATGGTGTCGGTGTTGACGACCGTGTCCTCGGCCAGCGTGTACGCCTTCCCCTTGAGCACCGCCAGCCAGTAGAGCCCCTCGTGCCTCGAGCGACTGCTGCGCCGATCTGCGCGGCGACAGCGGCCTGGACTGAGCCCTGGCTGTCAGGCTGTCAGGTGCTGTCAGGTGATCTGTCGGGCTGTCGGGCAGCTGTCAGGCACTGTCAGGTGCCTCTGTCAGACCAGCTGTCGGGTGCTGTCAGTGCTGTCGGGTGCTGTCGGGTGCGTGTCTGACATCAGAGGGGATCTGTAGCTGTCGGGTGCTGTCGGAGCTGTCGGGTGTTGCTGTCAGACGCTGTCGGAGCTGTCAGAGCTGTCAGGCTGCTGCTGCTGTCAGACGTTGGGCTGTTGCTGTCAGGTGCTGTCAGGTGGTGCTGTCGGGGTGCTGTCAGGCTCTGACACACACCAGCCACACTTATGACATTATCAAGAGGAGACCAGCAGGACTCTGCTGCACATACTCTAGTCTCTACTCTGCCTCCGGTCCCACCATCTTCTTCATGGTGGACGTCACCATCTTCTTGTCTGCCGCACTGAGAGAATAGCAGAGAGGCAGGGGGGAGTGCTTCTTCAGGTACACCTTGCTGATGATCTGGTAGTTGCTGGTCCAGCGGAAGGCCTCCCCATCGTTGTCGCTCGTCAGCTTGTAGTACTTGCAGGCCGCTCTGTTCTGGTAGCGCGGGCCGTCTGGGGGGGTCCCGTCACCCTTCACCTCACGGTACCACCGGAGGATAAAGAGGCCCTTGGGGTCGTTGATGAAGACCCCGTTGCTGCGCTGACTCATCGAGAGCTGGCGCAGGTACTCTGCGCTCGAGCTGCCAGTGGCGCGGCGCGCGTCTACCGTGCCGTCGGCGACGGGGCCACCTGCTCGATGTTGCCAATGGCAAAGACCTTGGAGCTGTCCTCCATGGTGAAGAGCACCGCAACTGCGGAGAGAAAGAGAAGAGGGAGAGATGAGAATGCACGTCTTATGTGTGTGTGTGACAGGCAGCAAGGGCGTAGTCACCGTCATCATCATCCATGTAGAAGTCGAGCTCCTCATCCACATCCTCGCCTCGCTGCTGATGGGACTTGATGAGCCGCTTGACGTGGAAGCGGAGCTTGCGATCCTTTGACTCCTCCTGGATGGAGACGTTGAAATCTGCCAGCAGCTTACGGATCTCCTCAAAAAACTCTGCGCTGCTGCCCTCCTCGCCGCCGGTTGGAGGCGCCACGTTGGCCCCCGTCCGCATCAGCTGGTTCAGCACGGCCTCGGCATCTGCAGCATCCTGTGCGCCCATGGCGGTCATCTCGGCCGGCTCAGCATCGGGTGTGCCGTTTGGATCATCCTCCTTCTCTCCCGGCTCCTCCAGCAACGCGCCACCCTGGACATAGGTGTCAGCCAGAGGAAAGTGCAAGCACGGCTGCTTGAAGAAGCCGGTCTGTGCACAGAGGTTGGCGCGGACTCCACAGAATCGAAGGCGCGGACCACATACACATGTCTTTGCATGTAATAGTTTTGCTATACCCTCATGGGACACACGAAAGAGGCTGCACGGCCTGAGTACGGTCTGTGCTGCTGTCGGGCTGGTCGGGCTGTCGGGCTGTCAGCGCTGCTGTCAGGCCGCTGTGTGCTGTCGGGCTGTCGGGCAGCTGTCAGGCTGTCACGTTAGGGCCTGACAGCGACGGGACGCCTCTGATGTCAGGCTCTGCTGTCAGGCTGTCAGAGACGTGCTGTCAGACTGTCGGAGAAAGTGCTGTCAGCGCTGTCAGGCTGTCGGGCACTGTCAGGCGCTGTCCGGGGTTTGCTGTCAGGCTGTCAGACCAGGGCTCAGGGCCTGGACAAGTCCGGCCAAGTCGGTTACGGGGAGGGCTACTACGAGGTCTTTGCGCGGGGGTGGTCGGGCGCCAGGCGCCCAGTCGATTGCCGCATAGTTCGTCGTAGTAGCCCTATCATAAACCTCTTATTCACACCTTGCACTTTGAAACAAGAAATATCCGACCTTTGTCGAAGATCCGGAGGGTTTATCAGAGCATCACCCATAATGGCGCATGTGTGGCAACAACTCTCTTCCTGCGCGAGTAACTCTCGGGGGCCGACTCTGTCTCTCTCCGCGTGCGGACCAGCAGGTGTGCGTGGCGCCCTCCATGGAGGCCAAAGCCCAACCGCGGGTTCCGGCGCGGCTCACCAAGGCGCGCGGCAAAGAATCACGCCCCCTCCCTCACAGTGCCGATCCCGGTGCGGCCTTGAGAGCGAGCTCGGCGATCTTAGCGTCCTGCACTGCCACGCCCGTGCTGTCAAAGATGATAAGGCCGGGCGGTCGGGCGCGAGCTGCAGAGCTCGCAAGCCACTGGCCCACCTCCACAATCCCCGCCACGTCGAGCCCTCCTGACTTGACTGCGTGCTGCAGCTCACCGCGCTCGACGCACTGCGCAGTCGAGTCGGCCACGCACAGGCGCGCGCTCGTCACCAGGGCCGGGTCCAGCTCCTGCTTGCCCGGAGAGTCCGCGCCGACCGCGGTGATGAGGACGTCGCCACTCGCAACGAATGCGCGTTGTAGAAGCGGCTCGCGCGCAGGGGTGACGGTGATGATGAGACCGGCGCCATCGCACGCGGCGGCAATTGAGGACGCTGCGCTCATTTCCCAGCCCTCGCGGCCAAGCTCGTCCACAAGACCGGCCGCCTGCTCGGGCCGGCGGGCATAGCACACCACCTTGCGGCAGGCCACGACCGACTTCAGCAAGCGGAGCTGCCAGCGCGCCTGAATGCCGCAGCCAATGACGGCGATATGCGAGAGAGAGCTCGGAGCGAACTCCTTGGCTGCGAGGGCTCCGGCCGCCGCTGTGCGCAGCTCCGTCAGGTAGCCGCCATCCAAGAAGATTGCGAGCGGGGCGAAAGTTATTTGGGAGAAAACCAGCACGAGGCCACTGTTTTGACCGCCGCCGCCAGAGGCAACCTTGCTGACAAAAACCGCGCCACCGTTGACGTATGCGGACTTGATGCACGCCTGCGCGTCCGGGTGGCCCACAAAGTTTGCGAGCGGCGGCTGTCCGAGGGTCTGAATCGGCGCGACGGAGACATCACCTTTGCTGAAGGCTGCAAAGCCGTCCGCCATCGCCTTGATGACGATCTCGTGCGGCAGCGCTGCGATGATCGACAGGCATTCTTCGAAGCTGAAGATGCGGGCGGGCGCGGAGGGCGTCATATGTGTGTTAGGGAGTATCCGGTGTCGCCCCCAGACTCACACGAGACTCACACATTCGGTTTTTCAGTGTATGTAGCTCTTACGAACATACCCGTAGGTGAACTGCTGACAGGTTTTTGGGCCCCGGAGCTGGCGAGGTACTTCCAGCCTGCTGTGGGAACAGCTGACGCAGTCTCGCCGAGGCTCGCCCCAGCAGGCGTGACCTGCCTCAGCAGTGCCAGGTCGGCCTGACTCGGCGCTCGATTCAGCCTCCGAGGCCCGGCATCTGGCCAGTGGGTGCACTGGACAGACTCGTGGAGGTGCTGGCAAAAAGTCCGACGCACGTGTCCACCCGACTGCGCGGCTTGACGGCTGTCGTGCTGCGGGCACGACAGCCGTCAAGCTCTTGCCGCCGTACCGGTCGGCTGGAGACGCGCGCGCGCGACTCCCAGGGCAGTCTTTGGCATGGCCTCGCCTGCCTGCGCACCCGTGCGTGCATGTCGCGCGCAAACATGGTCCTGCGCGTTGGCGCTGCCCACCATTGCGCCATTGCGCGCATGTGGACACGACCGTCGGTGACCACAGCAGCGTGTGCGTCTTGTGCTGTCCATGTCTTTTAGCTGTAAAACTCGCCCGGCGAACACCGACTGCGAGAGAGGGATCGCACGCGCGCGGCGCGCCAGCAGCAGCCCGGGGGGAGGGCGCGCGCGCTCTCTCTGCCTCTGCGCAGAGCTCTGGGCAAGTGCGTGTGTGGCGCGCAGAGCGCGCGTCCGTTGCACGGTCCGACTAGGGCACCAATCGGCGCCGAACGCGCGCGCCAGAGCGGGCTGCGGTCGCTCGGTACATGCCCTGGCGCGCGCCAGGATGTCTGCCGAGGGCCTGCGGCAGGGGGCGAGAACGAGTGATGACCACCGATGACCACCGCGAGACCGGGCGGGATCTGCTCTGGGGTGACAGGGGATGGTTGGGTATGCGTGGCTACGTGTGCTATTGTGTGCTACTGGAGATCTGGGACCCTTCTCGGGCCCTCTCGAGCTCTGGCGCAGCGCTGCGCTGCAGGCTGTGCGAGTGGTGTGACGGCGCGCCTCTCGGTGGTTGAGCGTAGGTCGTGCCGTTGGAGGCCCGGAGCCGCGGCGGCGAGTCGCGCATATTCGTCGCCGGCGCGCGCGCCGGCTGTGAAACGTAGTCGAGAGGGGGACGCACGCACGCGCCCCTTGAACGAGGCTCGGCCGTCCCACAGACTTGACGAGGCGAGGCACGCCTCTCGGGTGTAGGTATATTCTCTCGGGTTGACTCGGCCAGACAAAACCCCCGAGAGGCGTGGGAGTACCTCGCCAGCCCCGGAGCGGCTATCGAGAGCCCAATAGCCGAGGAGACTGTCATATTGTTATCGACCTGCAAAAAAATGAGGCTATGATTTCGCAGAGAATCCCTGCCCTTGTTGCGCGAATTGGTGAAATGCTATCAAAGGAGCACCAGACGGTTTATGCGACGTGGAAGCCGACTCTGTCAGGTCTCGGAAAGGCTCTCCGGGAATCGAGCAAGGAGTGGGTATTGTACAAGCAGCGGTTTAGGGTGAAGAGTTTCGCACTGTGTGATCTGGCATCGGCACAGTTGTTAGAGGTGGCGGAGACATGGAATTGTAGCGAGTTTGAGCTAATAGGTTCTCCTTTACATTACCCGACCATGTGAGTGGCTTATACTTTTCTTACCCTCCCTCCCTCCCTCCCCCGCACCCCCACCCTCCCTCCCTCCCTCCCCCGCACCCCCACCCTCCCTCCCTCCCACCCTTCCTACGCGGAAGAGCGCGTCGTCGCCGCCACGCGTAGCTGCCATGGGGGCCCGCGCCGCTCACTGAAAAAAAAAGCCCGAACAGACCTGAGGAGTAGAGGCCCTGTACGTTGCCTGGTATGGATAAAATGAAGACAGAATCAAGAGGATCGAGAGAGAGTCCGACACCGAGACGCGAGAGACGCGAGCGAGGGAGAGGACGCAACAGTCACACAGGCACACATAGTCTCGGAGTTTACGCCAGCAGCAGGCCGTTGTCATGACGCGTACGCCAGGCGCGTAAAGTCGACGACGGAGTGGAAGGTGACGCTATCGCCGTGCCGCATAAAGACGCTGCCGCACGACGCGTTTGGCTTGATCGCGTATCCGCTGCTCAGCAGGAAAGCGCCCTCCTGCCCCTCGCCCTTGCAGTAGCGTGCGTTGAAGACCTCTAGCAGCCGCGACAGCCGCGCCGTGTGCGCCACGCCCGCGTACACAAGCGCGTGGCTCTGTCCGGGCTTGAGCGGCGTGTTGTCGTCCACCGTCACCCGGAAGAGCAGCTTCGCGTCGTCGGCAAGCGCTTGGATCGCCTCGCCCTGCTCCTGCTTGAAACGCTCGTACACCTCGCGCTCCGCCAGGTTGGACGCGGTGCAGAGCACCACGCCGCCGCCCTCGTCGCTGAAGCTCGCCGCCACCATGGCTCAGCCAAAAAAAGAAAAAAAGATGGGCTTGTCCGTTTTCTTTCGGGCCTGCCCAGCCCCCCTCCGTGTCGCGATGCGCTCCCCGCTCCCGTTCCCCTGTGTCCCTGATCGTCCTTACAAGATCCTGCTCGTGCAGGTGGGGACCCTGTCCTTCTCCCACCCCTCGTTTGGCGTGCCCGTTTTATTTATTTTATTTATTTCGGGCTCTTTGCCGAGCCCAAAAAAAGAATTTACGAGCAAGTTAAAGGAATTTAATAATTGAATTTCGCGTGCTCCGACCGCTAGGTTTTCCCTGCGTCGCTTTTCTCTTTCCTCCAGCCGGTGCGGGGATTACATCACTCGGCTCTCGAGGTCCTCGCACCCTCGTCCTCTCTCCTCTCGCCGCCGCCCTCGCCGGCACCCCCTCCCCCGCGGCTGATCGCCACTGCCGCAAGCACGAC